TTAGTCTTTGAATGTTTTAGTGTTTGAATGTTCAAGAAATGAATATCCAAAAATTACCCTCTTCAAGCTTGCTGTAAAGCAGGAAAAGCATTCATTCCCCACCTCCACACCCAGGACTGCGTAAAGCCTCTTATAACAGAGGCTTAATTTCACCCCCTACTTTTCTCATCCACAAGCCACACTAAAGGATACTGAATATTAGTGTACAGACCCATTGGGTATGAGAAGAGGAACCACGCCAAACCAAGCCAAGCAAAGTCCATTTACAGCAACAGACCCGTGAAGCTAGTACGTTTTGTGGGAACTAGCAAAGAATGTGCCTGATCCTGACCCAAGCTACATGTTGCAGAGGTTTCTGTAGAGGCTTGGGTTTCAGGTTTATCTTGATACCATTGATCAAGTGTTACAGTTTTTCTGAGAATTTCTCGATAAACTGGATTTATTCCCAGCACATGGGGGAAAAGTGGAGATCACTTCGAGTTGGTCATCTGAGGTCCTTGATGGGCTGGCTGGGCCTCTCTTGGCCTCGGCTGACTTGTTTGCAAATGGAGACAGGAACTCAACCACTGGTTCAGTGTCATGAGAAAATGTATGTGAAGCATTGTGCAAGCTCCAGATAATCCGGTTATTGCGGCCATTTACTGCATGTGAGAATGCATGATCACTGGGACCCGGACAGGGGAACCCACATCACTACTGCTTTCAACATTGGAAGGAAATGTTTATGACCGTACATTCCACTCTGTCTGATTTGTAGAGGGCCATCTTGAGGCCCAGAGAAGGTCAGAAACGCATTCTACAGATTATATGAGTAGCCTCATGGAGGCGCTCAGAGGGTGGTGTGAGCCAAAGTACCCAACTGTGGACTTGGATCTTTCTGTCACACCACAGCACCCCTGAGCTGCCCAGGCTTCATTTGCTTCATTCCCTAAGCTGCTTTGCCAGTTACCCGTGGGTGATTTTCTTCATACATTTCATTGTGCCAGCTTGAAGGCAAATGCAACTGTTGGTCAGAATTGGTCACATGCTCATGTCCCTCGCATTGCGAAGAACAGTAGTTTGTAGATTAGAAAAGGTGGTGAGGGTGGCCTGAAACTGCCAGGCTTGGTTCAATCTTTAGCATTCTGGAAGCTGTCTCCCTGTCCTGAATATTCTGAATTATATTCATATTGCCATGTTTTTGCCATAGGGGACATCAGGATTCTTCCAAGATTACTGTAAATAAACTGTGGAGAGGACCCCTGCTTTGTGAAAAACAGGGCTGGGTAGGCGTCTTCAGGTTCCCTCTGTCCTTCTTAGAGTGTCTTGGGCCTCTCCCCTTGCCTCCAAGTGTCCCTCCTGTTGGCTGACACTGACCGTTCCACCCATTCCTTTCAGCCATTTTCTCCCTGGCCCCTTCCTGCCACAAATCAGGTCTGAAACCCCGGCACAGCGGGCCCAGCCTCCTCCTCCTGGTCTTAGAACTCCCATCACTCATCATCATCATCATCATCATCACCTATTCTTTGTTGTTCTCTGTTTCTAATCAATTTCTGACTGACTTTTGCCTGTTAGTCCATTGGCCTCCTCATTTGCATAGCAGGTCATCTTTTTTCCACTTTTACTTCCTCATTCTCCTTGCACTACGGAATGTCCAATTACTCCCTGCCCTTTGAGTATCTCTCTTTTCCTCTTGGATGTTCGTTCTGGAATTCTCTGGGTATGTCCATGGGTTTTCTTCTTCCTCTCAAACTCAAGCTTGTGTTCATTGTTTCACATCAGCCTTCCCTGGCTAGATGGAAGCCACAGCCCTCTCACCTCCCACCTGTGCACACACATCATTCCTCAGCTCTGAGCTCTATCTAGCTCTGGACTTGTTCCCTAATGGTGTTGTACATAATTCAGATACAGCCCGTGGGGGGGGGGGGGGGAATCGATGATCAGTCCTCCCCTAGCCCACCAGCCAGCTCTGCAACCCCGGGGTTTTCTCTGACCCTATCCTTTGAACCTCCCACAGGCAGTCAGTTATTAACGACCTGTGCATGAACTCTTGCATCAGCCCATTCCTTTTCATTCCCATTGCCACACCCTAGTTGGGTCCTTTGACCTGGACAGTTGCCTTGAGCAACCTACTGACCTTGCTGCCTGCAGTCCCTCCCTCCTATGCATTCTACCTACCACTGCTGGGTGAGTCGCCTCGGACCCCAGGCCAGACCCTGTTCTCTGGCTCAGGAGTGAGTGGACGAGGGTTCCCCGCCCAGGTGGAGTTCTCACCTGCCCATTGTGCTCTCCTGCTCCCTTCACTGTTTCTCACAAGGCAGCAAAACAGCCAGACGTGAACCCTGCTCATGCCGTTGGTGGTCCACCCGTGTTCCTGTGTACACTGCTTCCCCTGGTAGGAAGCAGCTCCAGCCTGTTGTGTGTGAAAATGCTAGTCCATCTAGAGCTCTTCCCGCCTGCCTTCCTTGGCAGGTGTCCCCGGCTTGTTCTCTCAGCTCTTGTAGCTCCTGGCCCTCAGTCTCTCCTTTTGGTATGGGATGATCTGTGAATTTGTCATCTCTGTGTCATCCTTGAAACCTCCGAAATTCAGCAGGGTGCCCCCCCCCACATGCACTGAATACTGCAGAGACCCCAGTGAATACTGAGAAAAAACAGACTAAGTGGCTCTGGCCTGCCTTTATTCCTCTCCCCTTCCCCGCCTGCCGAATTGGAGGGGGTCAGGTTGGCCTTCAGGCTGTGTGCTGTGCCTCCCTGGTCCCATGCCACAGACCGCATTTCCTACCTCTGGCCCCTGTGGGGTTATTAGAGGCTTTGCTAGCCTCGCCATCCTTCTGGGTGTGTTGACTGCCTGGTTTGCTCTGAGTCTGCTCTTCCGAAGTGAGTATGTCTGCAGTGCTCCCAGATTCTGCTGCCTTCATCTTGTACGCTTATTTCATGCACTCCTCCTGCCCCGCCATACCAGAGGGAGCTGCAGTGAGATACTGGGGGTGACTGATGCTACACTCTTCACTAAGTGGCTTCAAGATTAAAACTAATATGTTGTAAATTGGCAGTGCAGTTTGTAACCTCATTTTCTGTGTCACACTGGATACATAGACTTACACGGTGCCAGTGTGTTTTATGGCGAGTGGGGACTGCTGGAAAGATGGAAAGATGTTCACTGGGACTGTTTCCCCATTCTGTTTTTCTTTGGAGTTTGGATGTGATGCAGAGGGTGGGGATGAAAGAGAAGTATGAAAAACATACTCTGGATTTTGAATCCAGTGACAACTTGAAGGGCATCTTCCCAGCATCCCCTCAGTGACCTCTTAGAGACAGGCATTAATTCTTACTCAGTCTGACAGCTGAGGGTTAGGAAGAATCCAGGGTCTGCTAGGAGGTCAGGGTTCAGAGGCTTGGCCGGGACTAGAAACTCGGCTCTCAAGTGCTTCCTGCGAGGTGCAGACTTGTAAATACTTTAAAAAAAAAAAAGATTTATTGCATTTTTATTTGAAAGGCAGATTTTTTTTTTTTTCAGAGAGAGGAGAGACTCAGAAAGATCACTTATGTGCCGGTTGTCTCCCAGGTGGCCGCAGTTGGCTGGTGCTGAGCCGAACCAAAGCGGGAGCTTCTTCAGGGTCTCCCACGTGGAAGGACTTGAACCATTCTCTGCTGTTTTCCCAGGCCACAAGCAGGGAGCTGGTTGGAAAATGGAGTAGCTGGGTCACGAATCAGTGCCCATATGAGATGCCAGTGCTTGTAGCTGGAGGATTATATGGCTAACCACCACGCCAGTCCTGGGATGCCCACTTCAGGTCCAGCTTGCCATCTGCGTTGTGAATTGGCAGTAGTAGGAGGGCTTTAGAGAGGCGTGTTTATCTTAAGAGAAAAGTGGTCTTCATGCCAGCGGCTCGGGCCTTGCTTTGGAAAGCCCAAGGGGGACTGTGGACGTGGGACACACCGATTGCGTGGCTGGAAGGGGTGGAGCGGGTTTTGTTCAGAGGTGAGCAGTTGGCGGGACTCTGGGTCTAACTCTAGCCCTGGACAAGATGCAGCCCCTTAAATTTCAAGTGTCCTAGAGAACTTGGGGTGGGGCTCACCCCTGTCTTCAGTGCACTTTGGAATCCTTCAGTAAAAAACTCACCTCCTTAGTGAGTATTCCTGCGGGATCTCAAGGCAGAAATGCCCAGTTAGTTTGTAGTGTGTTGTCTGGTAGGTTTGCTTTGGGAAGGGAGAAACTGGTGAGCTTAGGGTGGGGATGGAGTGGAGTAAAAGAGGGAGGGGCTAGTTAGTTCCCAAGGATGCATTTTGATCCTGTTATTTATATCTATGAAGCGGGTTTTGCTTTTGGATTCAGATTAGTGGGAGAAAGAGGAGAGTTTGAAAACTGGAGAAAACTTAAGTTAGGAGGGTTCATTTTGCAAATCCGGGCTGGATTTGAGGGCGATTTCTGTGGTCTTATCTCCCCGCCCAGATGGTACGCTCCTCCCCAGTCCGGGATCCCGGTAGTGGTGTTTACCTGTGCACCTTTCTCCCACAATGCCTTGCACGTCAGGACGCCCATCACACTTGCCGGCGTCCAGTTCCTGGTGCAGGCCCAGCGCTGTCCCGGGACACCTCGGGCTCAGCGTCTCACGCCAGCGGCGTGGGTCTGCCCGGATGACGCTCGAGTGAGCCGGAGCAGGCGCGCCTGGCCTCGCCGTGGCCCTTGCCCAGCGCTCGGGGTGGCCCAGGTGCGCCGCCCCAAGTTACCTCCGCAGCTGCTCAATAGTGAATGAGGCCGAGCGCGGGGCTCTGACCCTCCCGGCCGGGCGGCCGGCGCGCTCTCCCTGGCCTGAGATAGTAATCGGAGACCTTTCCGTTACATGAGGCTTCCCAACAAAAGACTCTAAGCCGAGCAGCCGTGTGTGGGAAGGCGGCGCAGAGGCGCCGGCTTGGGCTTGGGCTCGGCCTGCAGCGCACCCGCGAGCGTGGCGGCCGGTGAGGGTCGCGGCCGGCCTCCCCCGCGCCGCTCCGCGTGGTACGGCCTGCGTTTCCTCTACAATGCTGTTATGCTAATCAGGTGACATCACCGCCCAGCGCACGGCGGAGTGGCTCCTGATTAAATTACAAACCGGCGGCCGGGAGGAGGTGTGTGCGCAGCTCCCGCGAGCTCCGGCGCTGGGCGTCCGAGGCACGCTGAGGATTTTGAAAGATTTCAACTCTGGACGTGTGCGCGCCTCCTTCCTCCTCTTCCCTCTCCTCCTCCCCCGGCAGTTCATTGCTTCACTGCCCTCAGGCAAGGGCCACGGAAGGCAGGAGAGCAGCAGGACTAGGTGCCTGAGCCCTAGGTGACCTCCTCGTGAGGACTGAGGTGGACTCCCGCTGCAGCCAACTGCCTAGTAGAGCTCCCCGCGCCCGTTTCAGACCCGAATGGAGCTCGCCTAAGGTGCAGCCTCGCCGCCAGGGCCGGGAGCCAAGCCGCGCGGAAGCTGCTGCGTGTTGGATGGGGGTAGGCAGGGGCCGGAGCGGTATTTCCTCGGTGCAGCCCGCCAGGGCGTTACGCTGGGCCTAATGGAATTGCAGAGGACGTCTAGCATCTCCGGGCCGCTGTCCCCGGCATACACGGGGCAGGCGCCTTACAACTACAACCAGCTGGAAGGGAGGTTCAAGCAGCTCCAAGGTAAGCCCGCTCCTGGAGCCTGGGCCTGCCCGTGGGCCATGCCCGTGGGGGCGATGAGACTTTATTTGTGCCATATGGGGCTTGACCCCTGAGGGATGTGGTTGGGAGTGACGGGCCGCTGCCTGTGGTCTGTCCCCAGAGCCTCGGGGTGGCTGCAAGCACTCCATTCACAACTTGCTCACACTGTACCAGAAAAGCGACCTTCTGGAGTCAGGCGCCCTCGGCTTGCTCTCTCCAGTACAGTTTGTGGCCCCGTTGGTTGTCAGGTATCTCCTGCTCGCTGCGGTACACATTTTCGCCTTTAAAAAAAAGGCCAGCTTTGCCCCCCCCCCCAGCCAGTACTCCTACACCCATTAGTATGCAAGCATTTGTTTCCCTGTGGCCTCTGGCCCCCAGCCCCCAACCTCATACCTCTTGAAGCCTTCAAGGTGTAACGTGCACTCCTAGAGACCCAGTCCTGTAGAACAATAGCAGAGGGGGAGGAGGGAGTGGTCTTTTTATTCCTAAGCATTTAGTAAATTACAGTTTTGGTTCCGAAGCTTAATTTTCACTCTTTTGATGTGTTATATTTGGGGCGCGGGGGGGGGGGGAGGAGGGAGGGCTTTCCCATCCATCTTGTGGGCTGTGTAATTTATAATGCAAGCCAGTTATTGTCATTGCAATGATAGGGGTTGGATTAGTTGGATCTGTTACAGGATTCTTGTTGCTTGTATTAGAGTAATTGATTGAGTCCAGTCTGTGGCTGCTCGCATTTTGGGGAGAGCCAATAGGCCCCAACCAGGGGTATCTCAGAGCTTGTCCATGAAAAAAGAAAGAAAAATATTCCTAACTAAAAACAGAACCCCTTCCAGTTTGGAAGCCCCAGGAATCAGTAACAGGCTGGGAATGACTCTAGCACTATTTTTTTTTTTAAGTAGTGTCCCAAGGCGGTGTGTTTCTTATTTTAACTCCTCTGGGTGCCACAAACGTGGTTCCTGTGAGGGGGAGGAAGGCAGGAAACGGCCAGGTCCTAGAATGTTTTCCCTGGGAAGGGGAGAGGCGATACTTCATTCATTTGGTGTGTTTGGTGAGGTGGTTGACAGCAAGGACACTTTGCTGGAAACACTGGGGCGGCTGGACCGTGTTCATTAAGGGCAGGTTCCGCTTCGGTGCTGGCCAGCCTCTGGTTCAGGCCTCTTGAGCTCTTCCAAGGTGGGGTTCACTTGTTTCGAAAACTGAGGTGTGGGGAGAGCTTACCAAGTGTAAACCAGGGAGTGTGTATAGCGTCCCTCAGCTCTGGATTCTGAGGTTCAGATACACTCTGAGACACCCCCCCCCCCAATTCTCCCAACTTGTCCCTTCCCTGTGTCGTTCCCCCAAGCCGGGAGCACCTGTGGGGAACCCTGGGTCAGATGGCTCCTCCCCAGTCCCAGTTGGCCCACGCCTTGTGGTCTTAAGAGTAAGGGTAAAAAGGTGTGGGCAGGTTTGCACCCTGGCCTGTGGTAACAAAAGGCTGTTATATTGAAAGGGTGTAGGGTGGATTGGAAACTGGTCCCTGAGCAGGGTGGAGCCTACTCACAGGAAATGTCTTAACTGTCCTCTGTGGACTGTGGAGTCTTTGCTGCTGATATTTTATTTATTTATTTTTTTGTCTTAAGGATATCCTTTGAAAAGGGGTGAGCTTGAGGTATTCTATGGTGGCATGCACACACACACACACACACACACACACTATATGTGAACTTTGTCCCCTCCCTAAGCTCAAATAACTTTCTTACTTTTAAATACTGTGGTTTTTGGAGTTGCACAAGCTCAGTGTGGTTATTTCTACAACAGAAAACCACCCATGTTGAGGAACTGAGACAGGGTGAATTAACTTTCAAGTGGGGTGGGGTGGTGGAAGAGGCAGGAGTATTTGGTCATGTCCCTAGTGATGGATGGGACTGATCGCATTGTGAACAACCTTAGGAGAAATTTGCTAAATACTTCTCTCAAACCCCTGGTTTGGCATTTTGTTCAGTATTTGCAATACTTCCAGCAATGACATAATTTTTGATAATAGAGATGTATCTGCTAATTTGATCGTGAGCCTTCCATTAGGGAAGGCTGCCTGCTTCATTCACTCTTCAGGGTGTAATCTTTGCTAGCACTTAACACCCAGTGTTGACCAAATGCTCTTTGAGTTGTTGTTTATACTGTCTCTTATTTGCAGTTCTTCATTCAGCATTTGTGTCTGGGAGTGCTGTGATTTTGTGGGGGTTATTTCTATGTTTTTTTTTTTCTGGTTACAAGTGTTTCCCACACTTGATATTTGGTTTTCTAAGTAGGATGTTAAATGAGTCTGGTCTATTGCGATAAACTTGTTTGTACAGATTTATCAGACAGTAAGTTAATACGATAAAAAAAAAAAAAACCTCACTGACTTGGGAAACTAAAATACAGAGTAATTTTTTTTTCATCATACTAAGGCTCCTGACATAAGATAGGGCACGCCATCAGGCTCTGATGGCTTCTGTTTTTATCAGCAACACCCAGCAGGCGCATAGACGCACGCAAGGAAGCACACAGTTTTCTCAAAAACTTGTCCTGTAACACTCTTACCATCAGTTGAATCAGTTTATATATTTTATAAATGTGTACTCATTTTTCTTTTTTTTTTTTTAAGAATTACTTATTTTTATTGCAAAGTCAGATTACAGAGAGGAGGAGAGAGAGAAAGGAAGAAGATCTTCTGTCTGATGATTCACTCCCCAAGCGACCATGTCAGCCAGTGCTGCGCCGATCTGAAGCCAGGAGCCTCATCCAGGTCTCCCACGCAGGTGCAGGGTCCCAAAGTTTTAGGCTATCCTCTACTGCTTTCCCAAGCCACAAGGAGGGGGCTGGATGGGAAGCGGGGCTGCCGGGATAGGAACCAGTGCTTGTATGGGATCCTGGTGTGTTTGAGGCGAGGACTTTAGCTGCTAGGCCACCGCGCCAGGGTTTGTTCGTTCTTTCTCTTTCTCTCTCTCTCTCTCTTTCTTTCTTTCTTTCTTTCTCTCTCTCTCTTTCTTTCTTTTTCTGAAAAGAATGCTGAGGAACATCAAAACTCAACCTCTCCTGTTTAGGAGAATGTGTTTGGTGCAACAGGGAAATTCATGCTCTCTTCTCTCCAGGTTCCATTGCTCTCATAAGCCCTCACAGGAGAACATTCATGGTGTTGCACTCCCACCCAGACACTGGCCTGTGCCTTTGCACTTATGAACTTCCGGGGTCTTGGGCTGGACATTGAAAGACTGTAAAAGGGCCCCACCTCTTGGGAACTTCACAGCAGAATTCTACCCTCATCTTCTACCCTGTGTTCCAGAGGGTTTACTCTTGACTTCCACTCGTGGAAATCCTTACAGCTCCCAAAGACGCACCTACGCTCTGCTAATGTCTCCACTGTTGAGGGGGAAAGAGATGGCATGAAGTGCTTCCATGTACCCAGCAGTGTAGTGGGAGCTCTTGGCTTTGCGTGTGATGTCTTAGTAAGTTTTCATAGCACACCAATGAGGGGTTGCGTGCCAATAGGAGACGATAGAATGAAGCATGTAGCTTGTCCAGGCCGCACGTTATTATTATTCTCCTCCTACACCTCCAGTAATTAATATTAGAGCTACTGACAGAGAACAAAGAGGATCATCTTAAGAACTGCCCACCACTTCCTCCTCTCCACATACACACCTGGTTCTCTCTCTCACCTGCCCCCCAGGGCACTGATGATGCTGGCTGGAGCAGTGAGGTTGTCTGGAGGGCAGGATCTCACGGAAAAGCATCAAAATGAACCTTTCCTGCCTTCCTTGTGGCCTGATCTTGGAAAGCAGTGTCTGATTGACATGGAAAAGGTGCTTTGTTTAGCTGTGCTGGTTCAGTGTGTTTGTCCCAGGAAGAGCTGGAATGCTCTGTCTTCGTTCAGAGAGTGAAGAATTCCAAGCTCCTCCCCCCTCCCTTTTTTTTTCTTTTGGTTAGTTTTAGTTTCCAAACTCTTATGAAAAGACTCGATTTTAATACCCACATGGATCCTGAAGAGATGTAATTTGTAACTTTGTAGTGTCTTTTGGGGGTCTCCTAATACCTGGGTTTCACTAAGAAAATTTGCTCTTAAGTTAAAAATAGTGGCTTTTACATATTTCCCATTGCAACAGTGATAAGACTGGGTGATGAAAAGTATTTTTGTTTTGTTTTGTTTTGTTGGTAGGATAAATGGAAGAGACAAGATTAATAGAAGAAAAGACAGGGATTTTAAAAATATAAAAAGAGAGAGATGTTAAGATGTCGTGACAGCCTCATTCCATATTGGAGGCAGTGGGAAGTTCAGTCACAGCTCCGCTTCTGAGTCCAGCTCCCTGCTAGTGGCACGCTCTGGGGAGAGTAGTGGTGGTTGAAGTCATTGAGTCTCTGCCACCCCCTGGGCGAGACCTGGATCTGGTTCCAGGCTCCATCCTTTAACATGGCAGTACAAAGTGAAATAGGGGACAGAAGATCTTTGTGCATCTCTGTCTCCTTGCTCTTCAAATAAATAAAAATAAATGGATTAAGAAATTCTTGAGCCAAAAGATTGCCTTTTTGGTCCTGATGCGTGCTAACACTGTGTATAGATCATATGAGTCAGGCAGCTCTATGGGATAAGTCACTGGCACAAAACAAAAATGCATTCCTTCCCCCAGTTTATCAGTTTCAGCTTAAAATTTACAAGTTCCAAAAAGAGTTGTGAATTGAAATTCTTTTTGAATGGTGCAGTAACATTTCTAGCACTTGACTTTAATAGTATCACCATACATAATTAACTCTGAGGTTCCTCAAACCACCTGGCATGGGATCTACTGTCCTGCAAATTCTAATTCAGTGCATGTTTCCTTAGTACTAGTAATCCTGTGGGATAGGCATTCTCTTATTTTATTATATGGATAAAGAAACATGTGAGTAAAATCGGCCAGTATGCAGGGAACTCTGTAGAATCCAGGTTTTCTGACTCCAACTTTGATATTTCTCCCGAAGGACCA